AAAAGAATAGTTTGTTGTAACTTACTATTTTTACTTGAAACACAACAGATCCCTCTGACAGATACTCCATCTCCTGTCCCAGCGTCTTAATACTTGCTGCTCCTACTTGGTATTTTTACTGAGACATTTAGCAGACTTGACAGCTGTGAAAGTCTAGATCACATACAGTATGTTCAAACACAGTCGATGTCTGCGAGCACTGAGCCACCATCATTTTCCTACTCGCACACACTGTTCAATATGTGCCCACATGTTTCCCTCAGTCTTTTTGTGTGAGGGGGTGACTGAGTACAAATAAGTAGGCTACTGTGTACATGCTGTGTATAGATTGTGTGTATTGGTCTTATTTCTATAGCTAAGAAAACCAAATAACTCTGCAAAGATTAAATGGATTACAGTGCAAAGCCAAATAGAAGACATGTTTCCTATGCCATGTTCCAGTTCTACACAAACTAATTGTATACTGTATATATTACAGTAATTGTCATGGAAGAAAATAGAAAAAACTGCACACTTCTACCATTCTAGTTTTCTAAGATCTTTGTCTCACCAGCGTCGACAATTTATTTGAATTTTTGCAGCTGTGAGCAGCTCCTTTATTTCCTTTCTGCAATGCATTGTGGGTGTGCATCACTATGATTTCATTGAGTATACATGTTTTCGTCACTTCTTCCAAAAAAATAATGGTTCCCACACTTCCCATCATGCAATTCAATTGCATATTTGATGACACCCTCCCTGCCTGCTAAACATCCACATATTTTAAACTCAATGTCCCCAGCTTGTGGAGGACATTGTGCAACTGTTTTCACAGACTGAGTGGTACTAACCATGTCAAGTAAACAGATTTGTTATGTGTAAAACTGGTGCAGTGCTCTTTTTAAGATGGAATGAGAATTACCATAAATGGGTTTGTGTTTAGGTTTAATTTGAGAGTTGTGTTAACGTTGAGCATGTTAAGTTTGAGAATGAACGATAGCAGTGACTGTTTCTACACTAGGATGTTTGTCTCTGTGCATGTGTGACAACTGTGATCTCTGAGAGAGAAAAGCTGCTGTCTATTTACATCTTCTTGAATGCGTATGTGTGTGTGTTCCTGTACATATCCCCATGCGTGCCTGCTGCCTCTCTTTGTAGGTAGGCATATATTCCCATTTTGGGCTTAGTATTCAGTCGATGGAGCTTGGATCCCATTTATCTTTGTCAGACAGTTATTACCAGGCATCATGGAGCCTAAGTGAAGCCCGTCGGTCTGAGCGTTACTCTGCTGGGGGGGGGGGGAGGTGTGGGTGGTGGTGGTTTGGGGTCTTATCGGTTCAGAAGTGGGGTCAATGTCCTTTGGAAATTGAAAATGTCCTTGAGTATCCTTGAACATTATCCATCATGGCACATAATCATGGATCATTGACACATTTGCATCTTATGTTATCTAAGAACAAGTGACATAAACACAACTAATCCATAAATTAGCCTAATTAATATCTACATTAGCATAAATGCTTCAGTTGAATATATCAAGGTGAGGGCGGTGGTATACCTTTCTTTTTTTTTAATCCTTCCTTTTAACCCAGTCAAAACTATCTTCATATGTACATTTCCCCCTCTTCCTTGCCCTTCTGTCACATGTGCAGGTGTGTGCGCTCAGTAAGTGCGTCACACTTCACGGTGAAGAATGGAAAGAGAAACGCGTGCGTTGATAATCTGCCTGTCTGTCCTGTGCAGGTGGTCGGCGGCGCCTGGCTTTTCAGCCGGCTCTACTGTAACGTCTTTGTCACGCTAGACGTGATGATGTGCACCGCCAGTATCCTCAACCTGTGCGCTATCAGCATTGACAGGTGAGTGCAGTGTGTGCGTGTTTACCTACTACAGACATTTGCTGTGACACAGTATAAATGTCATATTTACATATTTCAAGGTTTTGTTCTCTTCTTAACCTCACCTGACAGATACTTCAAAACTTCCCTGGAGAGAGAATATATTTCCCATCTTGCTCATATCCCATTGATAAATGTGTGTCAGTGTGTATTTGTGCGTGTGCGTGACAGAATAAGAAACAGAAATGAGGCAATTATGTTTTTTTACTTGATGTTCTAGGTTCAGTTTTTGATATATTTACATCTCATTTCTGTGCATTTGTTTGCATTAATGGCGGAGGGACTGTGCCATGCATCCATTTGAACATTTACAGTAAAAATACATCTTGTATTTCAATTATTTATTTGCTTAGTTTTCCTCTTGTGTCACAGTTAATATTTAATCGCTCTCTACGGTCTTTGAACTTGCAACCTGAAGGCATCAGGAGTTCAACTAGGCTACATAGAATAAATTAAGAACTACATCAGGACTGGAGCTTTCTCCGGGATGTATTCTTACATTTCATCAGCAACACTTTCATGAGATACTTGTGTCGTCATGTACAAAGCTGGTTTACCATTACCAACCAGGCAAAGCAACAGCTCCCAGGGGACCCCAAAGTCCCAGGTCACCATGCCTCTGTTAGATTTTGGTCATTTGATTAACTGCAAATTAGTAAAGAAATGTGCACCTCTTGCGTACAACAACAAATGAGTTCACCCTGCATAATCATGATCTAATTATGTGCCTCTGTCTTGTAGAGTGTCAAAATGTAGTTCTAACACAAATAATTGCACTTTATATTGTCTCACACGGTGCTTATATAAGAACGATTTATCCAACGACAAAGTGAAAACTTGTAGTGGTTAGAGGAGTATCGCACATCAGTCTGCAGCTTCCCTTGGCTTTACGGAGCTTTAAAGTGATTGTCAGCTCATTTAAACTTCACTGTTTCTTTTCACTCTCATCGTTCTCATTAGTGTTGTTTTCAGCAGCAGCTGTTTTCAGTGAAATAGCCCTAAAATCTCACGGTAAAGTACCTGCTCAGCACCAAATGGCAAAGAGACAAATTTAGAGTCTAACTGATGAACAAGCAGAGCATTTGGCAGCTAAAGATACAGGCAACTGTTTGCTTACAAGTTAACCTTTCCAACTTACTGTAAAAAGTAATGGTAAGTCAGCGTTGTTGCAACTTGTTTCTGCTGCTTTCAGTTGGCCAAAGGTTTAGATGACCACAAAATAGTTTAGACACACACATACAAAACTCTGCAGCCAAGTCCTAATGGAAATTTAGAGGCAACATGGCATGCACAAAGCAGATGGTTAATCAGACCATGGTCCTGTACAATAAAAGGTACCAAACCCCCTTTTTTTAAATTGCACATGGTTACATGCCTGTGTGTTTCTGAAGGATAACGTTCTTTGGAGCCCTGTGGCTGTCTGTGATTGATTATAAGACGAGTTAACAACACCGCTACAGCATCGCACACTTTGTGAGGTGCTGAATTAAAGCGAGGCACCAGGGGCATAATGTGTCATTGACAGTGTTCAACACGCCTGCATTACACTTTGCGACTGCATTGTTTATTCACGAGTTTAAAGCAATCGTTTTTTTGTGATAGTTGGGAAGATTTGTCGCCTGTTAAAAGGAAGCGTCAAACCAGGCTATTCAGAGGCAACATAAATACACCAGGAAGGAAGTTCTTGCATCAAACTTCAAGCTGAAGTGTTTTTAAAAGTACTTACAACGTAGGTCATGCTTTGAGTGGCGTCTCAGAACAGAAGAGCCTTGTTTTCATCCTCAACTAAAAGTGTAACTTAAAGCAGCGCTTGATCAATAAATCATGAACATTATTTTTTTACCTACTGCACTTTTTGATCTTCGCTCTTATTCAACCAGACAGCAGCATGGCACGAGGGGAGAATATTTTTAGTGAAGTCTGTGCTCCGGGTTTAGCCCTGCATTCTGCCCAGAGAAGTACCGGTGTAATTAGTCTGATGAGGATAAACAATCGTGGCAGTTATCTGGCTCTAAACAACATAACATCACATCCATTTTGGGTCGGGGTCCAGCGTAATTGCTGCCTCTTCCGAGCCTAGTTTTCCTGGGCTCATTATATACTCTTGGCGTACAGTGTGCTGATTAACTCTTAAATCAAAGCGCCACTTGGTTTACTGCTGATTACCCAAATTGTTTTGAAATAGAAATGCCTGTTTTGCTTCTCCATTGTTGGTCTTTATATTACCCGCTTTCTCTCAGCAGTGCATTACTTGGCATCGCTAAAGTCTCTTCAAGGGCGCTCTTTTTTTTTCTCACTCTAATTATTCCCTTTTACTGTACTATATCAGCAATTTTCTCTTCCTTCAAATGTCACCAACTATTCTCTGTACGCACACATTTTCAAAGCTGGACCGACAATAATATGTGTGTCTCTGCAGGTACACAGCGGTAGTGATGCCCCTCTTTTACACCACCACCCATCGCTCCAGGAAGAGAGTTTTTATGATGATTTCCACCGTGTGGGTCCTGGCCTTCACGGTCTCCTGTCCACTGCTGTTTGGTTTCAACACCACAGGTCAGATCAACAACATTATGACTCCATCGTGCTTTAGATGCATCGTAGCAAACAATCAATTTTATGCAGGATGCAAAAATGGAATTCAAGGCACTGTGTTAAAATGAAAATCAGGGTCAAAATTCAGTCTACTTGCTTTTTAGGGTCAACGGTGGAACATGTAATGCAATCCAAAATGGGATTTTGAGGCGCACTCCCTCAATTTATCATGTCGGAGTCAATTTACTGGTCATGGGCTGTAATACTCAGCCTGTGAAAATATTATATAATGTTTTCTGTGACTATGTTTTGAGCTTTGTCAAGCCTGAGAAAACAAAAAGCACTGATGATGAGACTTGAGACTTTTATGTGTTGCAACTTGGAGCATTTTGAGTTTCAAAAACTTGGCCGTTCATGGCATATGTGCAGGCCGTAATCAGGAGCAGCTGAGGGGGAGAGTTGTAATTCAAAGTCACAGTTATTCTGAACATCTTGCTACTTAACAAAACAAACCTGTGGCAAAACGGCTGCAAAGTGTCTCATAAAGCGAGTTAAAATTAACCTTTAAACTATCACAAAATCTAGTTTAAAAAAAGTCTAATTTGTCTGTTCAGACAATTTTTCAAGACTGTGGATCACATTTTAATTGACTTCTCACTTGTTTTATCATCTCAGTATAGTGTACAATGCACAACCTGCTAATGATAAACGTCATTAATAACACAAACTACCTGCCAAGCAAAAGCAAAAAAGAGATTTCTTATCTTAGACCATTAAGGTAACGGTTATTACCTGGTCAAATGAATTAAAGTTTTAAAAAGTCCACCGCAGTTGGAATATAAAATATTGATACGCTGTCATCAGGAGCTGAGAGGGAGGGAGGGAGGGAGGGAGGGAGGGAGGGGGAGATACGTAAGACAACTCTGCCTCTGCAGCGTAGATTTTTACAATTTCTTTCCTAAATTTTATCAGGCTGCAATATTTTTGGAGGGCCCTTGATATTAACACAATGCACCCTTACAGTGTTACAGCAAATGATTTATATGTGACAAAGTAATGTATTTTGGTATCTTAATCTTTGGTATCTTAATCTTTCAAATATTGCAATGGATTCTGGTTGAATGAGGTTACTGTATGAGGAGAAATGGTGACGTGTGTCTTTGATAATTCTGACGGATGTTTTTTGGGGATTATTCATGTTCTACATAAATGAACAATAACTTACTTGCTGTGCCAATGAAATCGCGTCTTCTGCATTTGTGTAACGAAGAAAGGATCACCAAACAATAACAGGGACAGAGAACTGCGAGAGACATTTTAAATTCGATTGCCAGCAGCAGCGATACTTGACTGCACATACACAATCAAGAGCATTAGTCAGACACAATGTGAAGCTACGAACAGAGATACGGGCTTTTGATTTAGCCCACTTGCAATCGATGCAAAATAATGGCTGCTAATTGCAGGAATCCAAATTTTGTCAGTATGCAGCCACGCATCAGCATTGAAAGGAGGGACCAGTGGGTTCACATGAGGTTTAGGGTCCTTCCCTGCCCTTCAAAAGAAAAGCATTGAAAAAGAACAGCTTAGCTAGACAAAAACTGCCTCACAAAATAATATGAATCTAGAAACTGAAGGCGGTTTGGAATGTGGCTAGAAATAGATTTTACCTGTGCTCGTTTCCATCTCTCTGTGTATTGAGGTATATGGTATTGATGCAGGGGAACGTCCAGGGAGAGACGAATCACTTCAGTTTCTTCTTGCCACTGACATGCAATATGTATTTCACAGCTGTGCCCAGAGTCTTTTTTTTTCCCCATTTAAAGCACTATTAGCTCACTTGATGGATATTTAACTCTGGAATTTTGATTGAAAAATTGATCTATACCCGATTATTATTTCAATTAGGCTCTTGTTCTGAATTAATGGTGCAATTATTGTCAAATCAATCATACTTCCACCTCACAGTCATTGCTGTTTGATTTAGTATGTATGCAGAATGTGAAAAGGGAAAAGTCATGAAGGTTGTTTTCACGACGGAGAACATCATCACCGGGGTCAGAGGTTGCCTATAAATCCCGCCTGTGAGTTTTAGGCTGTTTTGCATAATGACATTTTGTTTTGGACTCAGATGACCCCACGGTGTGCTCCATCTCCAACCCCAACTTTGTGATCTACTCCTCTGTGGTGTCCTTCTACCTGCCGTTTATTGTCACTCTGCTGGTCTACATCCGCATCTACGTGTTCCTTAGGATGAGGCGAAAGAGGATCATCTTCGGCCAGGCCAGCGGAAAGGTGCAGCCAGGCTCAGCTCCACCATCTATGGTGAGACCATTATCTTATTTCCTTTGTGTTTTCACTTTTACTGAATTATGGTACTCCAGCTGCAGACATAATAGTTTATTGCTGATTATGCAAAGTCAACAATGCATGGTGTTAATGCTCAGAATAATACTGCTATTTGTTTAAGCTCCTAATAAACTGATTCTTTGTAGATGCACTATTTTTTCTCCAACCAAAGCCTTAGATTTCTGATGTAGAGTCTCTCTCCCTCATTCACATTCACTTTCTTTATACTCATAATGACTTGCAAATTACAATTCACCTTTATCTTTGACCTTTTCTGTCTGACCTCACTAGTAAAACGTCCCCCAAAGCGTCATTAGAGTAAAAGAAAATGCTTCAAAGTTCAAAACACTTACCAAAGTAATTTGCAGGTTCAAATGTTCAGAGTAAATGTAAATGTAGGCTGAGTGCCATTGGCCCCTCAAGGGAACCCAGGTCAAAGATGAAATGTATAGTTAGGTTTATGAGCAGCTCACACGGCTGTCACCATAAAACTGAAGTTGTTCTTAATGAAATTGACTTGTCAAGTTAAAAATTGTCAGTTTAATTAGGAAGAGGAATGTTCACTGTGCTGGCCTCTGTCTTTGAGGTCAGTTACACAACACTATATCAATTATTGAGGAACAAATAAGGAAGGAAAAAAGAAATACAAACAACTTAAGTTTAGCCAAGAGGAACAAAGAAACAGTCAGTTTTATGGATCTATCATACAAATGATGTCTATTTCTCTTAATCTCATGTTCTCTGCATCTTTATCTATTCTTTTTTTTTAAAGCTGGTGTATAAAATAACAATAATTATATCCTGTAACACGACCAGCATTTGCATATCCAGGAGATTGCTGTGTAATGTGGTTCTACTCCATTTTTCCCTCCATTGCACACTAATTCACAGTCAAGTCCTCTATCATAACACCAGTTTACAGATAATTGGTTGTGCCTCAGTTTGGGATCTCATCCATGGGTAAGATCCAAGTCCTGGAGGAGATCAGACTGAGAGAGTTATAATGGAAGTGTGTTTTGAAATAACACAATGGGACTCTGACTCAGTCAACTGAGGGATATTGATACAAAGGAGTGACTTATCTTTGTTTCTGCTGTGAGCTCTAATTGAGTCACGCAGCGTTTGGAAGCGACCAAAAAATAACAGACATGAATCCTAATTTATGGCTGTGTCTGAGACGCTCACCAAGATGCCTCGGAGCTTTGATAAAAAAGTCCTCTGAGATGCAAATAGATGAATCAATAATTTTGCAAGTGAATGGCAAAATCCTTCTGCAGATTGATGGGGTAGAGGTGTTTGGATAAGATAAGGGGGATTAAGTATTTCCCTGAAAAATATGCTCTATCCCTCTCATCCCCTAGGAGACTTGTCTGCAAGAAGAGACTCCCAAGGCAAAGCAAGACTTGTCACCTATAAAGATTAAAGTGGTAGGTGCTATTTTAAACTAGAGACTCAACACAAACGTGAGATTCTTGAATTGATTTTTTTTTCAGTGCTCTAGTTTTGCAGAGTGTAGCGCAGCCTAACGCCTGACTAACCCTCTTGTTGACTGTGTAGGCGTATTGTGACATGGTGGCACACAAGATGGTTCTGTTTTTAGCTTTTCACGTGAGTCTGTCAGCGTGCATATTCACTTTTGAGTTCTGCTGTGTGGCCGCAGCTCCGGGTCTGAGAAGGAGCTGAAAAAATGTTGATTCTAAAGCGTGGCTTGTTGGCTTTCGTCACCTGGTCATTTGTCAGCTGAGCAAAATCTGTGGGTGACGCACTGCAGCACCTGCATATCCCACAGACTTCTTAAAGGCGGCAAGAATAATGTAATTTTCCCCTGAGGATAATGTGCGATGAAATGAGTATGAGAAGACTGAAAGTTATGTTTCGGGCTGTACTGGAAATAGACATTACACAATATTTAAAACTTTAACATCGCTTCTTATCACTCCAAGGGGAAAAGGCTGATTGGAGCTGTAGTTGCTGAATTTGCTGAGTTTTTGAAAGTGGAAATAATTACTGGTACAAGATTGTAACATTTGAATACTGTTTTTACAGGAAATATTGCAGTTGCACTGATGTATACTGAACGTTAACTGTGCATTTGTGATTTAAAAACTCGGAGTGGAGGTGCCACTGTGTTGATTCACTCAACTTCTAATATTTTCCACATAAGGTCAAGGCAGGACAAGATGAATAACTTCAATGTGTTCAGCCTTCAAGGAGTATAAACTTAAAATTCAAATGTTAAAGCTGCATTTTATTTTTGGCAACTTAAGACATCAGAACAAGCTGAAAACACAACATTGACGCATTATCACCTCATTAAGCTGTTAGCAAACAGTCATATGTACATATTGACCAGAGACATTTAGGCTTGTGTTTCTTGACACCTGTCAAATGTCCAATATTCAGTCTTTATAGCCATGGTTTGGTCTTTATTAACTCTCGAGGAATGTATATTCACCAGATAGCCGCTAACTTTGTGTGACATCTGTTGCTTGGCAGGTAGCATACAGTACTGTAGGATTATCACAGCTTTTTTTGATGAAATGTGCTGCCTGTTGTTGAGAGTGAACCAAAAAAACCTAAAACGATGCACTGAGGGGATCTGTAGAGTTGGGTGATAATTCTGAAGCTGGTTCGTCTCTAGAACCAGCACCTTCGATATTACACATGATGTATTGTTCATAGCCCTTTTCATAAAAATAATTAGTACAGCTTTAATGACTTAATATACGACGACTACGTGAATAAATATGTGTGATATAATGGCATCTCTTCATCCTGTATCGTTTGTCCCGACAGCAGAGTGTAGAGCCTTCATGTCCCTCTAAGCCCAACCTTTTGTCAGGATGCTTGTGGCGCAAACGGCCAAAGACGGGACCGGTGAAGAACTCTATGCTGCCCCCAGTGGACACGCACAACTGCTGCAGCATAAGCCACGCCTCCTGCGGTCGCACAGAGCTGGATCTGGAGCAGCAGCGAGGGGAAGAGGAGGCAGAGGAGAACAACCAGAACGAGCGGCCTTCTGTGAGGATGAACTGCGAGGTGAAGGATCTGTCTAACGGACGAACACACACGTCACTGCAGTCCATGGCTCATTCCATCAATAATTCACGATTCAGGAGCATGCACGCACGGGAGAAAAAAGCCACTCAGATGCTGGCCATTGTGCTGGGTGAGTGGAAATTGTCTTAACTGGGATAAGCTGAATGAAAATGTGAATGTCATGGAAGCACTTAACGCATAACATTTCTGTGATGGTCTTTTCTGCCTAATGTACCCGTGTTCTGTCTCTCACCTGGTGGTGATGGCACCAGCGTATTTTCTTACTGTGTGCATCGGCTGCATATTTTGCAGAGCCACAATAAATCAAGTTCAAATGTCAGAAATGTCTGGCTGGTTCCGCGATCACAGTGTGTGTCCACACATGCTGCAGCACCTGACACAGCTTCCACACGCTTCAATTATCAGCCAGGTTGCTGCAAGCCTGGTCAAGTTAACTCTGGCTTGGCATAGATATTGCTGACAAAAATGTAATCAGAGGTGTCTTATTACATTACACTGATGTCAGTGAAAGTGATGTTGTGACCCCAATTATAGCACTTGAATATTATGTTTCAAGTGTGCAGCAGCATTAGTTGTTTATACATAATAAATGCCCTGTTGGCTGCTGCTCGGCATACTAAGCGACTTACCTATATTTACCACATAAAGTAAAGGCTAATTGGGAACCAAAAGTGTTACAATTGACACCTTGCTAAGCTTGTCAAGCTTTTAATTTCAGCATGAATTTGCTCATCTACTACTCGAAAATCAACGGTCATTTTTTAAGCAATGGGTCTTTCATTTTCTATTAAACTGTGACAACTGTAGGGGCCAACCACAGAACTTGTTGGCGGAAATAAAGAGAAGATTTTTATCAGCTGTGGCGTCACCTAACTAATAGTTAGCCAATGACTATATTTATTGTTATACATTATTAGCTAATTCTGAAATAAGCCTTGGTGAGGCTACTAAGCTAGTTAGTCGAGCATGCTAACATTTGCAGCTTACCAGTAGATAAATATACTGTTTCTTACAATTTTGCTCTTGTGTTTTTGCTTTTGTCCTCTCTCTCTATACCTCTCTGCTCTCTGGCTGCTCCAGGGGTGTTTCTCATCTGCTGGCTGCCTTTCTTTGTGACTCACATTCTGAACACCCACTGCGGGACATGCTACGTGCCTCCTGGGCTTTACAGTGCGTTCACCTGGCTGGGTTATGTCAACAGTGCCCTCAACCCTGTTATCTACACCACCTTCAACATTGAGTTCAGACGGGCCTTCATCAAGATCCTCAGCTGCTGAGGAAGACAGCGCGTCAGGACAATTCAAATGGAAATTAGGCTTTGCACTTGTGCTACAACTCCAGCATGGTGCATATTGTGAACAGTGACCACATATTCACGCTGGTCATGGTCCAGATAAGCAAACCTGTCCCAGGAGTTACACAGTACCAGCATGACAAACAACACGCTGTGGTATGCAATAAATACAAAAAAAAGAGGCTATTACTTCAAAACAGACTTTATTTCAACAGGGCTGGGACTCCATTTGAACAGTATTACTCCTCAAATAAGACGTACATTTTTACAGGCGTACAGTCTTGTTGATAGCACAAGCTGTTCGACTTTATTGTGACATATTTTGTACAGTATGTGTGCTGCTCTTTGGCACAGGACTTTCAAATCAATGTAAGCTCGGAAGCTATTTGGACCCAAAATGAAGCTCTGAGGCTGATTAATTGACCGTAGAGCTGTGGGCCATTTTGTCCTGAGGCCCGCTGCACTGTGGATTAACTGATGATTCTCACCTCCCCCTTTCACCCCGTATTCACTATCATCACCATCAGTTACTCTCCAGTGCATGCACACATACAATGTCAAAGGCGTTCACTTGAATTGTGCTGGAAGGATTGCTTTGGTCCCTGCCAAGACACATCATTTTGAAGATTGTCATATATATTGATGTGGAAGCATTGTGCTCGATGTGGATTCATTACAATTAAAAATGTGAGATTTTGGTGTAATGCACAATGAAAACTGTTTCAGTGTTTTCTTAAAGGGACAGTCTGTTTATTGGCAAAGCTTCCTTAAATGTAGAGTTTCCTGCTGGCTGTTCTGATGCGCTAAATCGAACAGGATTGTAAATTGTGATGTGTGCAGGAATGTCATGGACAGAGCATTCACTGCAGCGTGCTGTAAATAAAAGAACTGATTAAATGTTTCCAGGCTATTTATACACATTAGGTATAATAAAGCTTGTGTATGCGTTTGGGTGTCTTAATGTTGCTGATGATGGGAGACACCCTCAGATGTTGGTGAATAAAAGTGTAGGAGTGCTTTCTGGGAGGAACACAAGAGAAACCCAGCGGAGTGAACAGGATATTGGGGGATTTAGAGACAGAAAGAAAGTAGCAACAGTGACACAGTAGGAGAATGAAAAACACAATACGAGATTGGGGATGATGGGAGAGCGGAGTGGGAAGGAGTAAAGCCAAAAAGAAAATAAATTAAATGAAAGAACAAGAATCAAGAGGAAAAAAAGGTTCAGGATAGCTGCAGAAGAAGAAAAGTGGGGGCAGCCTTTCTCAGCCTGTATCTCAAGCGCTCTTATTTCTCTAAGAGTCATAAACACCTGCTCCTCTGACACTGTATGCCACTGTGTCGACTCGGCCTCGTTCCACTGAGACTACTTATGGTGATGAAGCACCAGGTGTGTGGGGGTGTGTGTGTGTGGTGTGTGTCCACTCTATTTATGGATGTATGCTGTGATAATCATGATGCCAATAACCGATATTGTTACTATATCCTTCTGTAAAAAATCCTTACAACCAGAATCAATATTTAAAACGTATTTATATTCGATAGATAAGTCTCTAAACTTTAAAGACGTAATGGTGTAATCAGGACATAAACAAACTGTGCTTGAGATTCATAGTGTTTGCTCTTCTGTTCTGTAAATTAATTTGAGTGTGAATTAATTCAATTAAGTCTGCCTTTTAGGGTGTAAACACTTCACAGCTGTGCACACGTGCCTCTAGATTACATGCAGTCATTCAGAGACAATAATAAAAACCTCTTACTGTAAATTAACTGCAAATGAGCCCAAAATGCATAAGGCGGTTAGCCGCTCTAGTCCCCAGAGGCTGAAATTTCAAAGTTCGCTTTGACTTTTTTTAACATGCTATACTATGACTTTTTTCATGACTTTTTTTGTGAAGTTTTTTGGCATACTATACCCGAATTTGTATGACTTTTTACAACATGCTTTACTTTTACTTTTTTATGACTTTCTTCGACATACTATACTGTTACTTTTTTCGACAGGCAATAGTAAAACTTTCTTCAGCATGCTACACTGATGTTTTTTTTAACCTAATTCGACATGTTATAATATGACTTTAATTGGCATGCTATACTATGACCTTTATAGACCTACTTAACTTTGAATGTTTACGACATACTATACTATAACTTTTTAATTGTGTAGACACACTAAACTATGACTTTTTCGACATGCAATACTATAACTTTTTATGACTTTTTTCAACAGGCTATACTAAGACTTTCAATTACTTTTTTGACATTGTGTAGACACACTAAATTATTAATGATTTCTTAGTTTTTTCGACATAATATACTATGACTTTTTTCGACTTGCTATACTATGACTATTTTGAACATACAATACTATGACTTTTTAGACAAGCTATAATATCAATTTTATGACTTTTTTCGACATGCTATACTAAGATTTTTTTTCGACATGTTAAATGTGCATTAAAATATAGTTCCCATACCGGGAGTTGAACCTGGGCCACATGGGTGAAACCCAGGAATCCTTACCACTAGACCATATGGGACATATTCATGAATATTTTAAAGACTTTTTTCAACATGCTATACTATGACTTTTTTCAACAGGTTATACTATGATTTTTTTCGACTTGCTATACTATGACTTTTTTCGACATGCTATACTGTGATGTTTTTTAAACTTATTTAGACATGCTATACTATGACTTTTTCAACATACTTTATAAAAAGTCATATTAAAGTATGCTATAAAAAATGTCGTGACATTTTCTTTGGCATGGTGCGCTCAAAGCTGTTCGAACCCCGGATGTTTTTTATCAACACCATGCAAACTGATTTGAACAGGTTTACATGCAATGTCATTGCGTATGCTGCAGCTATATGCATATATGCACGAATGGATACATACACAGGCATTGGGGTTTTTATTATTTGCTGCATGACATGCATTAGTCTGTGTACATGTCTGTGAAAACACAAACAGGTGCTTGCCTTTCTTCATGTCTGTATACATTTGTGAGGAGTGCATGATGGAACATGTGTAAATAGGTCTAAGTGAGCGGGGAGGATCAACGTGAATGAGCCCATTCATGGGTGAAAGGCAGAGGGAGGGTTTCACTGTATTTATAGTTGAGGACACGTGGAAAAATGAATGCGATGCAGAGTCTGCATGTTTCTTAAAAAGGAAGAGGATGCTTGCATGTGCGAGTGATGGCTGCTCATTGTTTAATTAATCAAATGTGATCAGACTCCCGTGTGCTTTTTACACTTTCTAAAATCCCTGCTGCTTTGCATGTTTGTGACTGAGGAGGCAAAACACAAAGACTTAACGATTTAAAGTGCCACCACTCCAGTTCCTGCAAAAATCTCTTTCTGCTTCTTTTCTTTGTCTTCGTGGATATGAGCGACTTGGTGCATTTCTGTGGGGGCACGGACATTGGTGATTGGCATTTGCAGTCCTTAGCAATGGATAAAGATGTTGATTACAGACAGGGGTGGATACACGCCTTGACTGACATTAAGTCTGTTCCTCTCTTTTTCCACAAATGCATCCCATTTTTTTCCACCCACCAGTGTGTCAAAGCAGCACAATAATCATCCTCCCCCTCCCTGTCGCTCCATGACGTTCATACACATGATGCCGTTACTGTTCATTTTATGTCATTATAAGGTTAAAGGGTTATGTGCAAGGAGGGAACCAATCCTGTGGTGTTACACAATGTAACACACATAAACAGTGATGTCTCTCTCTCTATCATTCTCTGAAAAAAATAGTTGCTAACAAGTGGCTAAATGAGACGACTAAACATTAATAAGCCGAACACTAGTCCGCCTTTAGCCTCGTGGTGGTGACCGTGAAGTCATTGGACCGTGGTGTAGTAAGCTTTTTACTTCCAGCGATTGAATTCACCCTTCAAAACTCATAAAAGTGGCGTTCATTTGTGAAGAGTATCTTGCTGAACAAAATGTTTTTGTATCTAAAACTTGTTTTTGCCACAGATCTTTTGTTCTGCAATAATCCAAAATCCAATGGAAACATATCATTGGCTTTTTGTCAAGGGAACCAGTGCAATGTCAACATCCAGTTTGGCCCACAAAAATACGTCATTCCTGCAACACTTCATACTAATTCACCTTGTGCCTTGCGTGAGGGTGCTTCCGCATTGCGTTAGTTTGTAATCTTGTAATCTTTTTAAGCTATTGAATGTGTAGAAACATCCGATCTCTGAAGTGTAGCTGCTTCAAGTTCTCATATACCATTCATTGTTTACAACGCTACTAGCACTATAGCAGAAGATCTAACACCATAGTGTTTAATCCAGAAGTGAAAAGAATGGCAAGGCAGCATAGTGTGAATATATACTTATGTCTGCATAATGTGGCCAGAGGGGAAGTTAAATCCCTTTCAATTTGTCAACCAATTACAGAAGATCAAAGTAGGTGATGGAGCGTATCCCACACATCCACACATGAAGTGACAAGCGTAAAATCGCAGCTAAGCCGATGGGTCCAAAGCATTGGATGGGCTATTTCAGACATAGTCAGTTTCTTTAGTAAGATTTGTGTTTGCTTAGACTTTAAAACAAGCTACCGCAAGCTATTAATGTTACAAACAATCGTGGACTGGACTTCTTCTCTGGAGTTCTTTTTTGATCTTCAGCAGCTGTCTGGGCACTCTGATAGCATACAAATCTTCACATGCTCCTGCACATGCGATGCCTGAATGCTCTTTTGCAAATGGCCCCTTGAAAGGTGCAGCTTTCTCACATCTCCTTCGTGTATTCCCAGCTGTTTTAAACTCACTTCTGTGAGGAGTTAACAAGAGGAGGATGTTCTTCACGAGTTACGTGACTTCCATTCATAAGTAGCACTGAGTATTTGAGTTAACTATTTAGCGTGATTGGATATAATTAGTTCTGCATGGTTGGCGATGCAGAGGGTGGATAAATCAGAGGGGAAAAGGGGACGTTTCAAAGTGAAACGCTTCAGTAAGACATCTTTAAAATCAAGATGCAGAGAATGAGCCTTTTCTTTCTCGATCAACGACATGGACATGACACAAGAACAGAGAAAACCTGGAACAAATGTCATTGCTAAAAAAGACGGTCAAGTTGCAGCATGAAGACTTCCAACTACAGTTCATTGTATATGCTGCATGAATCAAGGGATCACCTAATAAGACCCTTCAAACACAGTATGCACTCCTGATCAAATGCTTGCACACAAACCTAGTGCGCGCGCACACACACACACACACACACACACACACACACACACACTCAAAGGTTTGCATATATATATCCAATGTGCTGCACCTCCTCAGGGTGAGTGCTTCAATATTTCTTTAGATCGTCTCCTGTGGAATAGATGAAAGAGCAAACGTTACTGCCCAGAGAATTACCATCACAATGGAGCTGCGTGATCATTATCAGCAAGCCATGGGTCTCGACCAGACTTTTGGAGTTAATGAGGCAGGAGAAAAAAGACAGAGGCAGAAAGTCCTACCCGAGAGTTTACAACAGTTTAATTATGGTGGAAATTATGCAAATTAAATTATTATTTTACCCAATTACGGCTCTACTGCATCTTTGTATCTTGAAAATTGCACATAGTTGCAGAAAAGCTGTGCTCCTAATAAATAGAGACACACATTAAATAATGTATTGGCATACATAAGTAATGCATTACGCACGGTCACATCTTTCTAACTCTGGAACCTCGGCACCTGGGCTTCCCTTCTGTCAATCTGTTGAGCAATTACAGCTAAGACCTCCCTACCACCTTGACATTACATTACATTACAGTCATTTAGCAGACGCTTTTATCCAAAGCGACTTACAATTCAGATTCTATTCATACACCGTAGGCACAGCTACGGGAGCAATTTTGGGGTTAAGTGTCTTGCTCAAGGACATATCGACATACGAGTAGCGGAGCCGGGGATCGAACCGCCCGATCCTCTGATTGAAGGACCCCTGCTCTCCACTTATCCACAGTCGCCTCGTGGAGCGACTTGCTGTGTGAGTGGTTTATAAGAAAAATGTGCATTCACTTGCTTGAGGGTGTACTTGCATGTGATGCAGAGAAGGAAATACAGAGGAAGATGGTCACGTAAATGCTTGGTCATCATATTTCCTTTCTATAGTGGTCAAAATATATGCAGCATCAAATTACACCAGATTTAGACCTAAACTACTACAATGACAACTAATTACACACTTTGTACTTGTGCTTGTTGTTCATTTTACAAAGGCTGCTGATGCTTTGACATAGAATATTCCACCAGAGCCTGGAAGGGTATCAAAAAACATTCTTCTTTCCTCGTTCGTGTTTATTCAGAAAGCTTACTGCACCTCAAGTTTGTGTGTTTCTGCAAAGCTTTTTTATCAGACCC